AATATTAATTAAATTAATTAAAATGTTATTATAAAAATTTATTTTAAAAAAAAGTTTTGCAGAATTGTGACCAAAAAACACCCCCAGAAAAAAACCCACCAAAAACCAAAAAAACAAAACCGAGAGTACAGTACAAAAGAAGCCAAACTACAGATCTTCTTATCTTGAAGATTTTGATTCTGAAACTAAGAGTTTACCAAAGTAAACATGTTTTTGCAACATGTTGCAGCTGCAGTGTAACAATATGTTTCAACCAAGAACTGTGATAAAATGTTTCCAGTCAGCTCTCAGCAGAATACTTCATAGGCACTAGAAGCAGATACGACCCTTAAAATAGTCCTAAAAATACTGTCTGCTGATGAATTAAATGAAAATACACAGGGAAGCTGGTTGGTCACTCTCGTGTGGTACTAATTCTTTTCCCAATAAAACGCATTGCAGATGTAACATACGTGCGCGTGCTCCGCGTACCTTTGTAACAGAAATAATGTTGCAGTTGACAAGGCTCTGCAGGAAACAAGAAAACAGTTCACAATTAACTTCACAGAGTTTGTAGCTTACCCAGGTAAGAAAGCTAAAAACTCCAACTGAAAAGCCTTCTAGCAAGGCAGTTGCTTTTAGAGATGCAGAGCTTGCCCCGGATTGTCACTGGCTGTGCCTCTGATTTGGGATAGTCAAAGGCAGGTAAATCCTGATTGATTTTATTTTAAACATGGTGTTCAATTCTGCTTTTCATCCCTTTGGTGCCATGCCCTCCATTTTGCCCAGCCGCACTGTTGCACGTGGAGAAACTTGGAAGTCTGGGAAGTGATGGCAGTAGCAAACCAAGATGGATGCACACAGGCAACAAATCAGAGGTGCCGGCAGAAACTTAGTGGCTCTCAGTGACAGAGGCACACTGTGCAGCAAAAGCACTCGCATGTAGAGTTATCCTCCCAAGACCAACATCAAACACAAGTCGTAGCAGAGATGTCATCATATGGCTGCAGCTCTGAGTGAAGAAGCCTGCTTGGGGATCTCTGATTTGTAATAGATTATAATATATAGACTGACTGGATCCCAAAACAGGTGCCAGCAAGAAATACATTTAGAAATTCTGGGGTTTTATTCTTCATGGCTAATACTATAGAGGTAAATAAGAATAAGCAAATGAAAAATGCGATTGCACACTAAATCCTGTCAAACTATTCTACATGTGTAAATTAATTAACTCCTCCCAAAAGTAAACTTTTAGTTTGGTTTTTCATTTTTTTCACATACTTAAGTGATGGTGCTCCAAAGAAAGTAATCTTTCATAATGCTAACAATAACCCAATACTTCAGCTGTGGCTGACGAGGCTGGACCCCATTACAAGTGAGCACTGAGCCAGAGGGGCTGCTGATCTCCCCTACAACCCATCCAGCTGCACGCTGTTCCTCCTGTCACAGGGTGTTTGCTGCAGTTTAGCTGAAATCGACCCTTGTTTGTCTCTTGTAAGCTCTTCCAAGCATTAAAACCAAATCAAAATATGCCCCTTCAGGCCCGGTTCTTTTCCCACTTAACTGAACTGTTAAATACACACCAATTGTAGCAGGGGCAGAATCCGTCCCTTGTTAAATGGAATTAGAATTCCTCATTGTTATATGGAAAGTAGAAACCCACAGAGTAATCCTACCTCATCTATGTCTGATCCATTAAGGAAACGGCACGGAAGAGGATTATGAAGCATTCCAACATTGTTAACTAATCAAAGAAAATATAATGATAAGAACCAAATCTAGAAAAAATGCATAGTTCAGCTAGTTAAACAATTGGCTTCTCCTCAAGACCCAGAAGCTTTTGAGCTGTATGTGAATAGAAATGCTGTTTAACATTGAGTCTTGTTCTCACTGAAGTCATCAATGCTAATCAGTCCTGACTTCAGGGAATGGAAAACCAGTCTGTTGCTACAGTTTGGGGGTCTGTTTGTTTGTTGGTTTTGTTGTTTCATTTATTTCATTGTTAAAAGGATTATTTTCTTCGCAAAAAGCAAAACCAAAACCAAAAAATGTGCCCCCCCCCCCCACCC